ACATTAGTGGCATTTTGGTCAAAATACCATTTTGCATACAAGACCTGATCTTTCTTGATGCCTCTTTTCATTGCTGCTGGTTTAAAGTGCCAGACTCCACCACCTTGTGCTCTTCTCTCATCTTTTTCAATTTTTATATTCATTTATGATCCACCAGTGACCTTTCGCAGATGAATATATGCTTTACAGCACAGTAATAGTCATGCATTCCTGATAATATCCGCTATATATGATTAGTTTAGCTCCAATCAACATTGACTGCATAAAGAGGTATTATTATTACTTCTTAAGTTAAAACTACAGGAACTGCTGCAGAGTAATGGTTGGTGAAGTAAAATAAAATGTGTTTATAAGAAATTGTTCTGGAGTTTGTGAGCTCTGGAGCAGCTTTTTGTTTCACAGCTGGTGTAAATTGTGCATAAAGTGCTTGGAAAATATCCACTTTGAGTGTTCTAAAAGCATTTAATGTACACAGACGTGTGTAAACACAGTAGTGGAAAATCACTCAGAAAAGCTCAGCCATAAAGCTGTTTCTGTGATTAATCTGTTCCTATCAGGCCGTAACATCTCACAGAGGGAGCGTAGTGGCGTCAGAAGTAGAATAGAACTTTGGCACGACTCAGTGGAAAATCTGTGGTTTTGATCACAGGGACCAGAGGGCCACGGATGATCTTCAGTGTGATGTTTCCAAACCTGGAACAAGCTGTTCAGGAAGTAGAAAGTTTTTATTTTCTTGCTTTAAGGGCTAATAAGTAAAGAGGATGGAGTAATTCAGTCAAAGATGATAATTAATCAAGTGACACTGCAAAAATACACAAAGAAGAGAGCAATGAGAACTATTCTGATTCTCAGAGAGCAAAAAAAGTGCTTTTTTGAAAAATGCAATAGTGGCATGATGATGTGGTTTCTGATGCCTTAAACCTTGATTAAAAAGGATTGAATGAATCAATTCAGGCTGGAGGCCCCCCACCGTTCAGATAACCCCCGTCTGTAGAGTCTGTGGCTCCGGGTTCTGTTTGCTTGGTTTCTGCTGGATTCCTTGTTGTTTTAGAACAGCGTGGGTTCTTGTGAACTCTGTTTTACTTTGCTCTTGAAACTGTTCATGGGTTTAATCCCTTTATCTGTGATGTTTTCTTGTTACCCTCGGCTCAAGCCTAAATTAGACTTTTCCGTCAGCTCCAGGAGGGAGAGACACACACACACACTCATTGACAGAGACAATTTGCTTTCGGACTTCTCCATCAGCTGGGGAGTGTTGCAAAACAATTCCCCACCAGGACAACCGAGGGCGTAGCTCTATTCTGAGGTACCCTGCCACCATTACAGTCACGTATCCGGTCCACGATAGTGTATATACTAATGTGTTTACATTATTTTAATGCATTTCAGAGACTTTTTAATACGGACAAGTTTGTCCCTCATTCCCCTCCGCCTCTTCATGCGATCGGGACCTCTGAACCCACGTTTCTCCTCATTTTGCTGCATATCAGTCACGGGTGAATAAACATTCACGATCAATCACAAGCTTGCATTCTCCTTCTCTTTCAATTGATAGTTAAATAGACGGAGGCATGTCTCCGTCTTTCTCTGCGAAGCCATTGGAGCGCTCTTGCATCGATGCATAATGGCGTTGCATGTTTCCATCACGACGCAGACAGAGAAGTATAAATTAGGCTTTAATCTCACCGCTTGTTCTTTTGTTTACTCATCTGCTGACACTCACATATTCACCTGACCCAATAGTAATAAAAAACAGCCCTTTTGAGTTATTAAAGGTTACATATCATTAAAAAAATCAACTTTTTGAGCTTTTTACCATGTGATATTGTCACTTCCTCATGAGAATTACTCCAAAACCATTTTTTGGCTGCATTCATGCATTTTCCTGCCTCAGCTGAAATCTTTTTCAAATTTTTTCAAAGCCTGCAGACAGGACAAAGTTGCTCAAGTGCGTCGTCAGGCACGGCTCTGGAACCCGCCTCCCCTGGAAGTAGGTCACTAACACTCACTTTCTCTGAGTTGCCAGAATGGAGCGATTGATTTCTTTCTGCAGATGAGATTGTGACCTAAAATCAAAGTAAATCAACTAAGATGCTGCATGTAAATCACAAAATTCAAAGATCTTTAAAAATATTTTGCAGAAAATAATCAATAAAACTAAAATCTAAGAAAATAAAATCTGCTTCAGCTTGCTGAATAAATTACTGTCGACAACGGGAGTCAAACTCGCGTCAGGACATGGCAGAACAAGATGCACGGTACACACTTAAGCTGCTAGACTACCATAGCCAATACAACAGTTGACTTGCCTAAGACTGAGGTGCGTTGTCGAAGCAAACGTGGGCGGAGCTTCACTAAACCAGACCACTTCATTTCCAAGCTGACTAAAATAACTCAAAAGTGACGTCTCAATAGTGCCATTCGTAATATTTTATCATCTATTGTACCTATCTTTGCTATCCAAGGTTTAAAATAGCATGTGCTGGCTCCTTTAACCTATTTTCTTTGAGTTAATTTGAAAACGTCCTGAGGTTAAAGAGAAGTTGGTAACAAGAAGAACAGCAGCTTATCATGCAAATGTTGTAGGAAATGAAGGTAGAAATAAAATCCACGTTTTCCCAGGCGTTTTTGCATGAACTCTAATTAGTAAGAATGTCATTTTGAAAGTCAGAGCAGCAAAGAATCATGGGAAACACCAACCTCAGCTCTTCTTGAGTTGAAGATCGTGTGATTTTCATGCTAAACAAAATATTAAAGAAAATGTTCAAACTAATGTTTCTTACTGAATTAGACCAATCTACATCTACATTGTTGTTTCTCGTAAAAACATCTTTGTATAAATCTGTTCACATATCTATCAATAAATAAAAGATCCTGGTCTGATTTTTGCAACAATAAGCTACATTTGCATTTGACTTCTACTTTGCCCACTCACCACAGCAAAAATTCAGCCAATCAAAAGCTCTATTTATCCTCCTACATCTAGTAGATTATCCTCCACCGGCCTGTTGATGAGGATACGGCTTACAAACCTCTAAGATTTAGCCCTCATAAGACGTTATTTTAATTCCTGAAAGGGAAAAACTCCTGATTTCTAATAAAATGTCACTAATAGAAGAATGGGCTGTTTTATAGATATTATTTACCTTCTCGTTGCTTCTCATCTGCATCATGGCCTCTGCTCCTCGTCCCATTTAAATTCCTTATTCCAAACCTACAAGATTGATCTAAATCTAACAAAGCTCCAGTGTTTGTTGGGCACTGTGACCCAGTGGAAAATCATTCGAGTGAGCAGATTTGTGGGAGTTGTGTACATGTGGCCAAATTCTTTTCGGTAAATAATTCATTATTCCTAAATAAGAGATCCAACTATTGTCTTTTGTGAGTGAATTTGTTTTTCTTTGGTCGGATCAAATCCAAAGTGTGAAATCACCCGGTTTGTTGGTAATGACACATTTTCCAGCAAACCTTTTGGAACCGTAACCTGTAGAAGTTTCAGAATTTGAAAGTGAGTTTGTTTTCTTTGATTTGGTAACAGGATCGGAGAAATGTGTGCTTCTTTTGTTGGACATCCATTGAGGGATGAAAGGATGCAGTCAGAGCTGTGTCATGGTCAAACATCAACATTGTCTTCATGCACCACAGAGGGATTTCTAATTCAAAGCCAGGCCGCTGGCTCTGCTCTGGCCAGAAAAGGTCATCAGTCGCACCGAGGACGGTTCTTATCAGGCTGGTTCGTTCTGGCGCGCCGGACTCGATTGTTTTCTACTTTTTCTTCCCACTCCTCCCTCCATCCAAGCACGATTCCTTTTAAACTTCCAGCAGGAGCTAATAATAGACTAGTCACCCTGGATTGGATCGAGCCAGGGATATGTAAATATACCTCCCTTACTCCCGTGGGCACCTTCCTGGTTGCTGAAAAGGGTGGGAACCAATGAGAGGAGGAGAAGAAGAGAATAGCGATTGCCATGGCAACGAGGCCCAGCTGCTTGCACAGTTTTAACTCCTGTGTAAAAATGCTAATTTACTTTTCTTCTCTGCTCTAACCTTCTGCACTCCCTGCAGTCTTCACACAGTGTGTTAAGTTTAATGTTTTTGGTTTATAAATTCATCACCAGTTTGATTTAGACACTTCCCCAAGTTCCCTTTATGAGAGACCTTTATGCACGGTTATAAAAAACTAATAAAGCAAGGAATAACTCATTTTGAGGAAGTATTTTATTTTGAAATTGAAGTCCACACGCCACTGAGATGAATCTACTTATCCAGAAGTTAAAGCGTTCAGTTGGTAAAGACGACAGTTTCCATTCAGCCTGCTGCCTCTGTGTGCCATTTATCTGCTCTCCTCCCCTGTGTGCCATAACAGCACCACCTCAAAATAGCCCCCTCTCTTTCTGTTAGCAAATTAAGTGACAAAGTGTGGGAAGATCAGATATCACTATGACAACCTCTGCCTGACTGCCATGAGTTTTGCCTTCAGAACTTTCTGCAGAAATGCAGATCTAGAACCACTGCATCCAAACACAGGGACCTTTAGTCTAATACAAATATTAGCAAAGAAAGTTGTTGCTGTGACATTTATTTCACTCAGCATAAAAATGCTGAAAATTGAGGATTTATGGATTATGCAAAACCCTGCACTTAGCATGTTTAGTAAATGTTAGTTTATGTTCTGAATAGACAGGAAAAATTGACTTTCAGCAAAGTCCTCATTTATTTTCTGTGCCTTTGTTTGCAACAAAAACACTAATCTTCAGGCAGCAACAAAAGAACATTTCGAAACGGGTTTGGCTTCTTTTATTAGGGTGTTAATAAACGTGGCTGTTTTGACAACAGACATTTCAAAATCACATCCATTGTTTCCTCAGCTGAAAAACATGTCAGAATATCGTGTCTGTCATACAAAACTTTGAGTCATCTGTTAGAAAGATAAACAAAGTTAAGGGGGACTTTATTTTCATATTGGGGAAGTGTTTTAACCTTTCTGTTTGTGACTGCAGGCACAAAAAAGCTGGCCAACAAGGCGGCGCTGTGGTACGTCCCCTGTTCTCTGGAGAACGCTGACAAGATCCTGGAGGTGCCGCCCATCAAGGTAAGTGAAGAGTTCAGGTATTTGCTTTTCAGCCTCTCTCCTGTCCCGTTGTTGTTTCCATCAGTATTAAAGCCACACTGATTACGTTTTCCTCTTCTCCCTTCTACTGGTTTAAAGTGGAATTTCAATTGTTGTAAAAAAAAAATCCTGCTGCAGCCAGCGCTAACAACGAGCTAATGCTAAAACAAGCTAATGCTAACTCTAGTTAACTGATAATAAATAAGCCACAAACAAAAAAGGTTAACACTGTTGGACCCAAAAAATATTATTAACAATTCTAGAAGCAACAAAGCCAGGTCACTATCAGTCCATGATTTGGTAGCCTCCCTTAGTACCCTCAAACGAGAGTGGATGTTCACTCTGGTTTTCGCTCTTTGCTTCACCTCCAAACACATCACAATAATCACTAAGTTTTACCTCCAAGGTCTGCTGTGAAAGTGTTCTTCTTGCACTTTCTGTTGGCAATTGACAAACAGAAAAATATAAATGCTAGCCTTCATGTTAGCTACCGGCACAGTAGCAATATGAAACCGACTCAGTGGCCTAGTAAAACCGACTCAGTGGCCTAGTGGTAGAGTGTCCGCCCTGAGATCGGGAGATCAGGGGTTCGACTCCTGGTCGGGTCATACCAAAGACTTTGAAAAAAATGGGACCCAATGCCTCCCTGCTTGACACTCAGCATTAAGGGATTGGATTGGGGGGTTAAACCACCAAATAGTTCCTGAGCGCGGCTTGTCTGCAGCTCACTGCTCCCCCAGGGGATGGGTCAAATGCGGAGAATAAATTTCACCACACACCTGTGTGTGTGTGTGTGACGACTAAATGGGACTTTGAAGTTTCTGGCTCAAGGACCACTGGAACCAGTTTAAAAAGCAATAACTTAAAGTGTTTAACACTCTTTAGTGTTGCATTCTTTTTTTTGTTTGTTCATCCAATATTACAAAAAAATCACGGACAAAACAATGCACAAGGAAGGCCCTCTGATTGTTGCATAACAATTGCATTCATTAGTGCGAATTAGTACTAAATCTTTGTAATTTAGCACTTTTGAATTTTTTTTACTCAAACTGATTTTAAACTTACAGAAACTTACTATATTTTGACTACAGTATGCTAGCGCTGAGCAAGAGGAAATGGGCAGGAAGCGTTATGAAGCACAGAAAATTGTTCGATGGGAGACCAAAGCAAGGATTGAAGAAGTGCTTCCACCTCCTCTGAACCCAGGTATGAAACAGCATAACCTCTGCTGCCGAGTTTCACGTCATGTCTAATGTGTAAGATTATAGGATGGAAGATGCAGAGCAGACAATTGTTTTTGTGCTTTGCTACTTTGTCAATATCACTTTATTGTTGTGGAGAAGATTTACAAAGCAGGATGTTTACGAACAGTTAATACTTCTTTTTATTATTGCTAAATAAAAGGATCAAAGAATCAGTTGCTGAAATGAGAAAAGACCTTTTAACATGCTACAACCAGAAAGACATTCAGCGTTTTAAAACTTTTGTTGATGTGTAACAGTTCAAATAATTACATTTTATCCAATTTTTCTGTTGCTTTGGTTGAACCAAAGAGGATGCACCAAAATGGAAATACATGAGCTGACATCAAAGGTTTTGTTGGTGTTTATAGCAGAAATTCAGCTTTCGGCTAAGGATGGTGTAACGTCCAGCAATGGTCAGTTTAGGTACTGTTTGACCATTCAACATCTGGTCAAAAAGGAGACACGAGACTGCACGTAATCCCTTTAAACCAGCATGCCTTCCTCTCACCAGCTGGAGGTCAGAGCCTGCAGCTCTGACAGAGATAATGAAATCATAACAATAACATTCTCTCCTTCCAAGGTCCCGTACAGAGAAACTCTTTTATGTAGACTCCTCGCTTCAAAGAAGAAAGAAGATTTTTAAAATGAATAATGAACTTCTGAAATTTACAAGAGATAATCATTAAATAAACATTTGTTTATTGCTACTTATAATAATTATAAAACAATGAAATGTTTCATTAATCTGTGCTCAATGATTGTTTAGCATGTTTACTTGACAAGGTCATAACATTTGCACTCACACAAGCAAAGTGAGGTGAAAGCTAAGTCCATGACACATAGTTGGCCTTTTGCCCAGATCAGAGCCTCCGGATCAAAGAAGGTGTGTGTCTCTTGGTAACATCTGAACTTGTCAACTTTTGGTTGGCTACCCATTCATAACATCATAACATTAAAACTAGATCACTCTGGTAGTTCTTCAGTTCTAGAGAAAGCTCCAGACCGGCCATCTGTAGCAAAATCTCTTTAACCATCAAAGATTTTGACACGTCATCATAACCTTTAAAACCTTTTCCGCACCTGCAAAGCTGATACAACAAGATAGTTCCTGCAGAACAAGCTGATATTGTTCAGACTGCTTAAGAGTCCCAGACGCTCGGTTCCTTCTGTCTGTCGTGACCCGAGACATCTCTGGACTGAAAGGATCGGTACCACGGTACCAGGGTACAGCCCTCTGGTGCCAGCGGTCATCTGACCTCTCTTAAGCCCCCTTCAGACAGGCCATGAAAAACGGAAATGTTCCGGAATCTGTCCGTAAGACCTTTCTGTCTGAATACAAACATCCGGATAACGTGTTCCGGAATTTATCCGGACGAAGCCCCTAGTAACAGGTCCGGACTTGTTACGGACAGGGTGGCTGCTTCAGACTGGTGAGGTAAAGTTCCGGACAAGAGGGAGGGGGAGGAGGAGGGGACCGGGGGATGCCATGCGCACCTAAATAGCTCGCTGTTGTAGCATGCGGCGAACCACGAACCACGGCAGCTCGCCTCCTACGGTACCGTCTAGACGCGCGACTGAGCGCTTCACACCGCTTCAGTGATTCCTTTAACCATTGAGCTGCATCATCCAGGTCTCTTATGCGTCTTCGTGTGCGCAGAATTATGCTTAAGCGCCTCGTGATTTTTATCTTGAGAGGCACTATAGAAATGATGTTTTCTTCTTCTTCTTCTTCTTAACATGAGTCTGATTCTCTCTCCCCCCACCACCCCCTCGCCGCTGTCAGACATCTGGAACTTTTCCCTGCTGTGTGAACGCAGCCGAAAGGACAAGTTCCGGTACAAAGTGGTGTGTCTGAAAACACAGTTCCAGTTAAAAATCGGATTGAATTGTCCACAAATGTTCCAGAATGTCAGTCTGAAAAGGGCTTTACTTTCGAATCCACCAAGAGGGTCTCTGAATATGGGTAATGTAGACACACAGATAGCGTCTGATGTGGGTTTTGATAAGAGTCAACCTCGTAGCTTAGAGCAAACCAAATTATTTTACGTCCAGAACTCAGCTCTCCGAGATACCGAAGTTCTGACTACATTATATTCATACATAGGAACCTTTTAGTTCCATCCACTCACAGTAAATAATAGTTTAACCAATTTGTCAAGTTTTAATTGTTTGTTAAATAAATTCTTAGTTTTATAAACCTGACTGTTTCTTGAATCAAAACGAAGTGTGTACAATCCCCTAATGAATCCTAGAATCTTCTGATTAAACATAATAAAGACCAGGCAAGGTGATATTCTATATTTAGATAGTGTATCACAGCTTATTGATCACAAGTTGAGTTAATAATATATTAAGCTCTTGAAGCACCCAGTTTACCTAACCCAACAATGGTCAATATCAGGGCCGTTTCAAGGCATTTGGGGGCCCACGGCAAAATAGACTTCAAGCCCCCCCCATCCTGAAACAACAGCACAGACACACTGTTGAAGTTCGCCCAAACTTTATATAAATAAATAACTTTTGGGAAAGTGCAGATATACTGTACACATAGGTATGTTGTGTGAGCAGCACACTTGAATATTTTACATTTGAACATTTTCATTAGAACATTTGCAACCGTCTTACCACAAGCCCATTAAAACGTGAAGATTTAAAGGGGCAGCTCTCTGAGATTACACAGTTTGTCTTTGCATTAATGTCATTGTCTGAAGGCCTCCAGCCAGCTCGGGGCAATTGGAAATTGTCATGCCTGGTCATGTTGCAACAGGCCTGGTCATTATACATGTTTTGTTTATTTTTTTACATTGGGAGCCTAAGTCTCCTCCCCTTCTGGCCAGCTCATGGGTCCCCGGAAAAACGAAAAAATTAATGCAAGTCAACGGAGCTAAAAACGCTTTTTTCTAATCCGCTTTGCCCTAGACTCTGGATCACACATATGTTGTACTTCAATTCAAATGAAAACTAATGACGGGTGTTTCAACCACACCAGTCACGTACTTTGAGGTTTATCAGCTTGTAAAAGTTCGTAATTATCATGACTACAAGTCAGACATCGACACGTTGCATGTATGACGTCACCACAGAATTTCCTCTCCCCTAGCATAGCTGCTACTTACCACATGGCTATATTTACGGTGGTTCTTTCCTTCTGAAGGAAGGATTTCAAGTTTGCTAAACTTACAACCATTTTCCCTGTTTTTCTCCGTGTCTGGTTCGATGACGTCCCTTTCGTGAAGCGCATTTGTAGTCCTGGACTTATTTTCTCACAAAACCTAAAATAATGTTTCCCCCCAGTCGAAAATAAGTGCTTTCTTGGTATCAAAATGAGTCTTTAAAATTCACAGACATCGTGTGAAATCCAGGGCACATAACAAGCGGGATTAGAAAATAGCATTTTTAGCCCCATTGACTTGCATTCATGTTTTCGTTCTTCCGGGGACCCATGGCCCGGAAATAGATGGACGTGACTTAGGCTTCCTATTGAGAATGAGTATTTTGACATTACTTTTGTTGTTTGAACTGTAGAACCGCACACAGTTGGCTTCAGCCAGTCCAGTCTGATTCATCTGTTGGGGCCGTCAGACTGCACAATCAGTGACTACGTTTACGGAGGTAAGTTCAGGTTTGAACCAGTTTTCTTTGACCTTCTAAAGGACGGAGAATCTTTATTCAACACATGTCCTGTAAATAGCTACGTTTTCCACCCAAACCCACCTGGCTGACCTTCATGTCTCTGATGTTCATCCATAAAACCATCCATGTTGCTAAAATCAAGTTTGGATAACATCCAATCTCATGTGTAAAAAGCTGAGTGCTGATGCAAACCAAGTGAAATTTAAGCAGGCTGCTGAGCTTGCTCAGGTGTTTGTCAGCTCAAGCAGGGATCATTGAATTGGGAAAATTTGTATTTTTATTTAAGCAAAAGCAAACTTACAGATTAATGGTGACAATGCATTAAATAGAAAAAAGTAATTGATGTTTGCACTTGAAATGTTTATTAAAAGTCAGGAGGTGTTGGAAATGTGTAAGTTATCTGCAAAACTCTTCCTGCAGATTATGTCTTTGCGTGTGTGTGTGTGTGTGTGTGTGTGTGTGTCTAAATGTTTTCCTGAGAAAGGCACCTGCTCAGAATCTGAATATTAGAGCTGTTTTCATTTTTCATTTTATGTGTAGAGCTAAATGTGCACTTCGTCCGACATTAACGGATGCTGCAAAAGCATTTTATAGATACAGAACAATGAAGGCGATTGAGCAAAGGGATGATAAACCAAACAGAGGTGGGAAATTAATTATAATTTCAAACTAACTAACTAACTAACTAACTAAAGGAATTCATTTATTGGTATGTTATTGTGCTGTATCTGTATTTCCTTTGTTGATAATCAACAATGTTTTAGATAAAGAGAAAACATTCATTGAGAGGCTTTATTGGTTGTTTGATGTTCCTCTACGTGAATTGCAAAGTATAAATAATTTTTATTCATCTTGTTTGAATATAAACACGTGATGTTGCAGAGCAGCTGAGTGACTACTTGACCTGTGTATGAAAACACTCTACTGTTAAGTGTAAAGGAAAAAAAGCTAATCACAACATAGAATTAACAAGAAGCCTTCTTTAATCTGTTTTAAAAATTATATTTGTGTTAACATTTTAGGGATTTTACTCCCCGTTTTAACCTCACGGCGAGCCTAGAAGCAGTTTCCCATCTGGGCCATCACAAACCGGGCTGGGTGGCGTTGGTCTGACTCCCGCACCGGTAGGGTGTTTTCACACGCACTTCAGGAACTGGGAATTCTCGGAGCACGTGGGTGGGGCAAAGGACGCATAGAAAAGTCTGTGGTGTCTCCCCTTAAACAAGGCGGCCATGAGCGTGTGTGTGTGCGCGCTCCCCACAGCAGTGAGAAAGCGAGAGAGCTGCTGCAGCATCAGAGGTGATGTGCGCGTCTCAGCATCTAGAATGTTAATGAATCGCGCATGCGAGGCTGCCCCCAACGGTAGGTGTGTATTTGAGCTGGCCAATGAGATGGCAGTGGGTGTGTTGGCCCGGACCAACCCTGGTTTTCCCCATGATTAATACTCCTCCTGTCATCCTGGAAGAAAGATTCGAAGCACACACACTTCTCCGTGTCTGGTTCGATGACGACAATATGGTGAAGCATTTGTAGTCCTACACATCACACAAAACCTAAAATAACTTTTGCCGCAGTTTGAAAATAAGTGCTTTCTTGGCATCAAAATGTGTATTTAAAATTCACGAATATCATTTATGAAATCCATGGCATATATCAAACGGGATTAGAAAATAGATTTATAGTCTCATTAACTTGCACTAATTTTTTTAATTCCAAGGGACCCGTGGTCCGGAAGTAGATTGGCGTGACTTAAGGCGGATTTATATTTCTCCGTCAGCTTGAGTGTGCAGCCACACACATGCATTTTCCCTTTGGACTTCTCCGTCGTAGTTCCCCACCAGGACAACAGGGGGCGTAACACTTCTCTAGGGTATCCTGCCACCAACGTATCTTGTCCACAATAGTGTATTTATTATTGCATTTATATTGTTTTTACGCATTTTAGAGACCTTTAAGATGAATTTTTTTCCCACATTCTCCGACTCCTCAATGTGTTGAGCACCTATAAATCCATATCTCCTGCCATTTTCATCCACGTAAAAAATGATTCCCAAAAAGTTGGGCATGTTTCTGTCAGCCTCTGTGAGCCTCTGTGAGCCTATCGTAGAGCCCTTGCACCAATGCATAATGGTGTTGTGTGTCTCCGTACCCATTCAGACGGAGTAGTATAAATTAGGCTTTCGGCTCCTTATACCAGGTCTCATTAATAGCCCCCTGTATTCTTAGTACCAGTATTTCAGTAATAACATTTACTTGAGTTTTGTTTGTTTTTATTTTTATTTATATGTTGGTCATGTCATTCATTGCAATTGCCATTCTTTAATTAGCATTTGTAAACTATTGATTTTTAGAATCCCCTCATCAATCTGTAGCATCCTCCCTAATGCAATTTCTTCTTCCTCAGTAAGTGAGGCAGCATCAGAGGTAACTGTAGAACCTCATCTGTGTTTGAACTGTTTTGATCCAGTTGAGCTTTCGGAGTTATCAAAAATATTAGCTTCATCTAAACCTTCAACTTGCATTTTAGATCCAATCCCAACCAAATTATTTAAAGATGCATTTCCTTTGGTTACTTCCCCCATTCTAGATATAATCAATCTATCCTTAGTAAATGGATATGTACCACAGGATTTTAATTTTGCTGTAGCCCCATGAGATGTCTAAGCTGCAGCTGTTACACTCCTGCTTAGACTCTATCAAAACCTGGATGGCTGGGAGCTTTCTTCAGCTGAATGAAGATAAGACTGAGATCCTCATCTGTGCCCCAGACAAGCTGGTTCCCAAAGTCAGAGACTCTCTTGGTCAACTTGCTTCTCACACCAAACCTTCTGTCAGGAATCTTGGTGTGACCTTTGACCCAGCTCTCACCCTGGATTCTCATGTCAGTTCTCTTGTTCGCTCCTCCTTCCATCTCAGGAACATTGCTAAGCTGAGTCCCATTCTGTCCCGCTCTGAACTTGAGACTGTTCTCCACACCTTCATCTCCTCACGCTTAGACTACTGTAACTCTATTTTCACGTGTCTGAGCAAAACCTCCCTGAACCGTCTACAGGTGGTTCAGAATGCCTGTGCTCGGCTTCTGACCAAGTCCTCCAAACACACCCACATCACCCCGCTTCTCCTCCAGCTTCACTGGCTGCCAGTCAACTTCAGAGTTCATTTCAAGATCCTGGTTCTGGTCTATAGGGCCTTACATGGACAAGCACCTTCTTACATTGGTGATCTTCAGTCCCTACACCCCCAGCAGGTCCCTGAGGTCCAGTGATCAAAGCCTACTGGTTGTGCAGCACCAGGCTAAAGACCAAAGGTGACAGATCATTTGCTGCTGTGGCCCCCAGACTCTGGAACTCTCTCCCCCTGAGCCTGAGATCAGTGGACTCAGCGGTCTCCTTTAAAAAGCAGCTGAAGACTCACTTGTTCAAGCTGGCTTTTGTATGACCTTCTTCAACCCCTCGCTCTTTATTCTGCTCTCCCCACCTATTCCACCTTCCTCAGGATCCACAGATTTCCCTCTTTCCTGTTCACTCTCTCTTTCTTAACATTTTTTAATCCCAATTGTCTATTTTTGCTCACTTTAAATATATTTTTAAATGTTTTCTAAATGCTTTTTATATTTTTACATTTTTTGTTTTTGTGAAGCGCCTCGTGACTTTTATCTTGAGAGGTGCTATAGAAATGATATTTTCTTCTTCTTCTGTAATCAAACCTTTACTTAAGAAGCCTTGTGTGTGTGTGTGTGTGTGTGTGTGGGGGGGGGGTGCTTATACTGAGCCAGGATCCTCTGGAGGTTTCTTCCTGTTAAAAGGGAGTTTTCCTCTCCACTGTCGCTGTATGCTTGCTTATTATGAGGATTGCTGTAAAGCAGGGGTGGGCAATTATTTTTTCCATGGGGCCACATGAGAAATAGAAAATATTGTGGAGGGCCAGGCCAAAAGGCTGAAGTCAATTATGCATAATATTAATGGTATTTCTTTATAAAAAGCAGTAAATACCATTGTTTCTTCAAGCTGGTAAGAGTAGACTATATGTTATAAATGAGCAAAAAGGAAAAAGTGAGGTTGGCTTACAAAAATGTGATTTATTCAAATTTCCCAAGGCAATGGTAAACAAAGTGTGCACATTTGGTTTTTGTTAAACATTTGTGACTTATATTAGTTAACAGTTTCAGTCACATTCACTCCAAAACACATTTTGAGTTTCAAATATTGTTGGAAAGAGGTTCTTAGCATTCTACAGACACACAGTATTGTCTGTAAAATAAAATCACTGAACTGTGATCTTGAGAAAGAGGTTTAAAAAAAAGTGTCCCAGTTCACTGCTAGTTGCCTATATTTGTGGTCCAAACACCTTATTTTGTGTTTTTAAGCAATTTTTTTCTTATTCAGTGAGAGAAATCTAGTCTCTGCTGGGCTTTAACAGTGCATCAAAGTCAGGTTGAATGTCTGAGGTGGAGAAGCGAAGCACAGCTGACAAATGATCATCAGTGAGAGAGGATCTATACCTGGATTTTGTAAACTTCATCATTGAAAATGTTTGTTCACAAATGTAGGTAGAGCTGAAGAGAACCAACATCTTCTGAGCATGTCTCCTCAGGTTTGGAAAGTCCTCCTTAAGAGAAGAGTAGAAATCCAGCAGAGATCCTGAATCTCTGCTTTCAAGTCCCAAACCCTCTTCAGCACTTTCCCCAGGCTGAGCCATCTGACAGCTGTGTGGAGTCCTCCAAAAGAGCCACAAACTGTCTGTGATCCATCGCCCGTGCCCTGATGAAGTTTATTATTTTAGTAACATCAGTAACATGGTTGATTTTTAGCACTGACTTGCACAACACATGTTGGTGTATAATACAATGCAAAAACACCTATTTTTGATCTGCATCGATTTCTGTCACTTTATCTTGCATACGTTTCAAAAGTCCGACATTTTTCCCTGTAAAGCCGGGCGTACACTGTGTGACTTTTTCACCCGTAGCACTCAGCTTC